GGAAAAAAGAAATAAAAGGACTTGGCCAGGGTCTGAGTGGGAGATGTGGCAAATCCAGCAATTTAGACTCCAAATACCCTCTGTGTCCAGGCTGTCTTTGGGTGATTAGTGGTATGAAGGCTATTTTTTCTGACATTTTCCATTGAATAAAGCAGATATGGAATTACTAAATGGTGCTGAGAAACACCTGCAGACATAGCCCAGGCTAGGGGATAGCAGGAACACTGCTGATGTTGAGTCTGTTGGTTGAAGGCCTCCTCCCTAGATGCTGTTTCTCTAAGAAGTGAAGCGACAGGACTGGTGGCATTTGACAGGTTAAGTCTGCATTTTCTTAGTGTAAAGGAACTAAAACGTAACTTTTCTTACAGCTTTTGCAGATGTTTTACCGGCAACAGGAAGAAATCCGTAGGCTACATGAGCTGATAAACCAGAGAGATGTCCAAATTAAACAACTGGAGCTGGAGCTCAGAAACCTCTGCAGGGATACAGGCAGTTACTGAGGGTGCTGGCCTGCAGCACTCCTGGCAACTGAAGCTGACTTCAGTTCCTGTGGATAATTCCTTCTAGGGTTTTCACTGGGGGAAAAATTGATGCTTCAGGCAGCATGGACTTTCCTGGCTTGTGGTGGTCACATTTCCCTAATCATCACCAGACAGTTACTGATGGACTTGCTGTGCTTTTTCAGGCTCCCCTTGCCTGCCCACTCACTCATGTCAGAAGCTTATGCATTAATCCTAGTGAGAGACTTTGGAAAATCTTGCTCTTCTCCTCCTGGAGAAGCCACCTGTTAAGCTCTAGGAACAACCTGTTTTGCCACCCCTCCACATGACATGAGGATGGGAGACCTAAGGCAACTGCCAGCTTCTTTTCCCAACCACCCAGCAATGTGGCTCCTCTGGCTGCTGTCATCCTGCCCTGGGAGTCCACTCTGCAGCTGACCTTCAGAGGCACCTCTAGCTCCAAAGTGATCCTCACGCACCCCTCTCACCTCACAGCTTGCCCAGCTGCAACTGGGTGGCTAGGCAAAGCCATGGCTGCCCTGACCTGGTGCTGCCCTGACTTGGACAGTCCTGGTCTTAGTGGGAGGCTGCACTGGGGCAGACAAGGGCCAGCACTTTTGTGATAGGTAAAGGAGAGTCCATGTTTGGAGATCCTGCTTTAAAAGAGTAGTGATACGGGCTGATTCTTACTAGAGAAGCTACAGGTGCAGTGGAGGTCTCCTGGGTCCTTTAAGTCAGTGGTCTTCTTTCCCTCCTTCTACCAAAGACCAGCTGCAGTCAGCTGGGGACTGTGGTCCTGTGGTGCTCATCAGACAAATGAGGACAACATTTAAATCTCTACAGTATTGGCAGCAGGGGGTTTGCCAAGAGGGATTAAAAGGGAGGAGTTGGACTGCCAACCCACAGCAGGCCTTTCAGCAATGGTGCTAGTAGTGTGGTGTCAGCCATAGGAGGATCACAGAACCATGGCTGGTCATGAACAGCCCTCCCTGGTTGCTGGAGTATTGCTTGTCCTTGTGCCTGCGCCTGCTGCTTCCTCAGCTCCCAGGTGCCAGCGCCTTGTGCCATGTCCCACCTACAGCTGCAGGCTCTCTCTTCCCAGCTGTGTTGCCAAGCCCTCTGCATCCTCTGGGGCTGCCCTGTCTCTTCAAGCCCTACAGCCACACTTGTCTGTGCCCTCCAGCACCAGCTCTCTAGTCCGCTATATTCCCCAGCCCTTTGCTTAGGACAACATCTTTGTTGGTAATGTGGACGGTGTGATGGAGTGCACCCTCAGCAAATTTGCGATGACACCAAGCTGTGTGGTGCAGTCAACATGCTGGAGGGAAGGGATGCCATCCAGAGGGACCTTGACAGGCTGGAGACGTGGGCCTGTGCAAACCTCAGGAAGTTCAATAAGGCCAAGTGCAAGGTCCTGCACATGGGTCGGGGCAATCCCAAGCACAAATACAGGCTGGGTGGAGAAAGGATTGAGAGCAGCCCTGAAAAGAAGGACTTGGGGGTGCGCATTGACAAGAAGCTCAACATGACCCAGCAATGTGTGCTTGCAGCCCAGAAAGCCAACGATATCCTGGGCTGCATCAAAAGCAACGTGACCGAGGACAGGGATTCTCCCCCTCTACTCCACTCTGGTGAGATGCCTCTGCAGTACTGCCTTCAGCTCTGGGGCCCCCAGCACAAGAAGAACATGGACCTGTTGGAGCGAGTCCAGAGGAGGCCACGAAGATGATCTGAGGGATGGAGCACCTCTGCTATGAAAGCAGGCTGACAGTTGGGGTTGTTCAGCCTGGAGAAGAGAAGGCTCTGGAGGCACCTTATGGCAGCCTTCCAGTACCTAAAGGGACCTACAAGAAAGCTGGGGAGGGACTTTTTAGCAGGGCGTGTAGTGATAGGTCAAGGGGAAATGGTTTTAAACTGGAAGGGGGACGATTTAGATTAGACATTAGGAAGGAATTCTTCACAGTGAGAGTGGTGAGGCACTGGAACAGGTTTCCCAGAGCAGCTGTGGATGCCCCGTCCCTGGAAGTGTTCAAGGCCAGTCTGGATGAGGCTTGCAGCACTCTGGTCTAGAGGAAGGTGTCCCTGGCCATGGGGGAGGGGGGGGATTGGAACTATATGATTTTTAAGGTCCCGTCCAAACAAACCATTCTGTGATTCTAAGCGCAGCTGCAGGATGCAGGTCCCATCCTTGGTTTCAGGGCTGGCACCTGTGACCAGCTTTATGCACTCTGCCTGCAATGTGCAGAACTGGACCAGCGGCAGCACCGAGGGAATGCACAGACCTGCCTGCCTTGTTGGTGTCTGGGGGTCTCCTCTTGTATGTCCCTGCAGCGTGGGGTGAGAGAGTGCACTATCAGTTGCCTCGGGGTCTGAGCACAGCAGCAGCACTGGAGGGAGAATGATTTTCCTTGCCCTACATGCAGAGGTTATGGAGATGTCTTAAACCCAAGCAGAGCAAGCAGCTGTTGTTTAACCTGTAACTGTGCACCTCTGTTGTGATGCATGTAGGAATGAATACTGTGCCCTGGCAGTTTCCTGAAGCCTAAGGACTTCCCAAAATCAAAAAACAAAAAAAACCCCAAACCCAAAAAACTCCATCATCAGAAATTCCTACAAACAGGACTCCTTAACAAGGGGACTAATGGCTGTACACTGCCTGTGCTCATGTGAGATGCCCCTCTGGTTATCCCTGAAAGCAATAGCCAGTGGGGAGTTCATGGGCACTAAATACTCTTATAGGAGAATCACACAAAGACTTTGGCATCCCTTTTGCTCTACTGCAAAGACTTCACCCAGCTTTCAAACATATTTCATTCACTTCTAAATAGCAACAACAGATATGGGTGCTAAAAAGTTACAAAGATTGTTTCTTTCTGCAGTACTACAGAGAGGGGGTAGTTGTTCATGTTTTTCAGGAAGAGTCCTAGCATCAGTCACTTATTTAAAACCACTCTTTTTGTAAAAATAATACTTTAATAATAAAGTTGTTGAAACAAACTTCAACTTATTTCAGATTCTCCAGAATGGACTTTCCTGTGCCCTGGGACCACTCTGCAGTATGCAGTTACATGCAAAAGCAACTCACCCCAGATACAGAGCTTTAATCCATACACATGAATCTTACACCAGAAGTGGTCAGGCTTTTTCACCAAAGACAAGAGCTACATAAAAAATCAAGAAGCTCACAGTTTTTCAGCTATGTCAAACAAGCCTGATAGCTTTTAACTTCAAAGCCATTTTCATAGAAGGTAGCCCCAGGGATGTGATACTGTGGCTTTCAAACTATCAATATCAGAAGGGAGAGCACTTGACATAGCCTCAGCAGTCCAGGGGATATGACACTTTCCTTGTCACCATAGTGTTTTATTTGCTGGATTTTTTTTTTTTTTTGCTTATTTTTCATACTAAATAAATTATTTAAATTATTTCCAAGTTAAAGTAATTTTTCCACAGGATTTTTAAATCCTCTTGAGGACTGTTTCTTTGTTATCCTATGACTGACTAGCAGAGAAAATGGTGGGCCACCATGGTTCTTATCTTAGGGTTGTGTTGATTTCAGCATTTCTGGAAAAGGAGTTGCCTTCATTTAGGCTTTGCTGGCAACATTTGATAAGGCAAGACTATTTAATCAGAACTTCTTTTTCAGACAGTACACCCGTAAAAGTGTAGACTGTGAAATGTATTTCAATTTGGACCTTAAATGCAACTATAAGTCTTTCACACAGAGAAAAAAAGTGGAGGAAATGCAGTTACAAGTTAATGAATTGTGCCTAAATAGACTTAAGTGATCAATTTAAGTTTATAAAACTCCTAACAGCTTTGTAAAAAAATGTAAAACATGGGGATAAAAACCAAATTTGTGCAATGAAAAGCAAATGTAACTGAATAATAAATATAGTTTTACTTTTTGATACATGCAAAGTTGTTGTTTTCTTATTGTATTGTTGAAGTGACTAAAAATTAAGTGGAATCAAGTCAGAAAGGAGTTTCACCTGCTGTCTCTTGCTTGCATGAGGTTGTGACCTTACATTAGTAGGCAGGTTGTACACAGTCTACGCACAAGGGCCTGTCTTCTCACATCTTTCCCTTTTGCCCCTGATGCTACAAAGGGGTGGCTATTTCAAACCATTCTGCGTTACACTGCTGTGTATGTCATCTTAAGTAAACCAAACCCCCCTGGAGATGCATATCACATGCATTATTTCCTGACCATGCTGCCTTGCAGCCCCGGCACTTCTCTTACCCAGTACACTCTGACAAGGCTTTTTTAGATATTCCACATGAAGAGGGTTTAATGAGTTACTACCAAATTTACTTATTTGAAGACACTTGATGTTAGACGGGATTTTAATTTAGCAGAGTGAAGCAGCAATCACAATACAGAAACAATGTGGCAGTTACAACATCCAGTTGGATCACAATACAAATGAAATTCCCATTACTGGTCTCTATACACTCACTGTCATGACACTGCATACCTCCAGTCACTGTGAAGAAATATGTAGGTTATGTAGGTTGAAACCAGCTCAAGCCTGTAGCTCTCTTCAAGGTTTGTTTTGTTGGTTGCTCAGTTTTTATGCTTTGTGTTGGGCTGAGCCCCATGATGGTCTGGCTGGCTCAGAAAGACATTCACACGTTTTGATTAACTCAGGCTACCTAGACAACCAGTTGATCACTCAACTGATATAGCAATTAATCTAAACCAAAAGCCATCATCTTGTCCCTTTTCCCCTGAGATAAGCTCAGCTTTCTTTACAACAGCTATGGTCACTCCTTATATTCTTCCCTGAGCATCAAGAGTGCATCGCCTGTGCCCATCTCTGAGCCTCCTTCCACTGTAGAAGTTTGTTGATCAGTCACAACTTTGGGTATGGAAATATTCACAGCTGCATTCAGGATGTAACTTTGTTGGATAAAATGTATTTTAGGCCAGTGTTAGGAAGAAAAAAGGTGGAAATCGCTGGAGAAAGTCTGTGCTGGGAAGCTTGTGCACCAGTCAT